AAAAAAAAAAAAAAAAACACGGCTTTAAATTATTCTAAAGAATGCTTCTTTCCTACTGCTACCACTGCGAAATTTGTTTCCAACTACATTTCGTACTTTCTTGCCCTAATTTGACAGTTCTCAAAAAACACTGACATCAAACGATCTTTTACCATTTATACCCTGTAATCATTATCTTAAATTAGTTAGCTGATACTCGGCCACGCGTTTCTCTACGTTCATGATCCAGTATTGATTTAATTTTGAGCATTAAAATCTTTAAAAAAAATAACATTTTTCTCGAAAGTCTCTAGAAAGCTGACTCTGTTGTAAACCTCCAGCAGTTCTTTCGTTCTTTCTTTTTGATTACACAAACCAAAGGTAAAATTCAGTTGTGAGAAACAATTTTTTTAACTTCTCTTTGTATCGCTCTCTTAAGTATCAGGTAACTAGTCGTCTATCGCTTCAACAAATTTATTTCATATTTTTACTAAATCTTCAGCCGTTTGTCAAAGGTCGCCCGCTAAAGTTGGCGCCTACCACTCTTCCCCCCTAAAATACATTTCGTACAACTTTCTTTGCCTCTGAGAAAGATTCTTTTATTAGATTCAAACTGACACTCAGCAGAGCCAAACCTATTTAATTGAACCGTTAAACTTCGACAATCAAAGCAAGTAAAGTTTAAGACAGTGACAGTAATGCGCTCCAAAAATAATGGCTAAGTGCAATACAAATGAAATCAAAAAATAACTGATCGAGAATTAACCAGAAATGAAAACGTCTTAGTATCGTTTGACCAGCTTCAGTGGTATAAAACAAACGGTAGGCAACAAAACTAAGATGCGATTACATATGTCCTTAGTACATTAAAAGAAATTCAGATCTGATTTTCATTTTAAGCTATACAACTTTGAGGCCTCAGCACAATCCCTAAATCCCTGGCCTTCGGATTTTCTTTTGTTCCGAGAAACGAGTCAAGATCTTTGAGGTAAGGAACAAATTCAAAGGTGGCCTTGTGATTTATGTGATTTTATATATAGCTGATCAATGAGAGGAATTATTATTTTTAAAAATTTGTATTTCTCCGGAAGGGCAATTTTAGCAGCCCGGAGATTCCCTTCGTCGTTATATTATTGATCGAATTCTCTTTGTTATTGCTTTTATGTATATTAGCATTTTGAGCTACTTGGTAAAGGTTTTATTACCCGAGTTTGAGGTTTGGACACCCTAGTTCAAATTCCAATATATGGGATATTGGAATTAATTGTTCATTTTTCTATCGGCTGATCATTGGGGGTTAGCCCAATTGGAGATACTATCCCAGTTTGAGTTTTTATATATTGTATATTGGAATTCATCGTCCTATTTTATTACTGGCTGTTCGTCGATATTACGTTCAGCAGGTAAATCGACTTTTGGGCTCTTCTATTTGACTGATTAAAATAATCTGTATCATTTTATTTTATTCCTGCTGTTTTTCCTATCTTATTATATTATCCTATATTTCAATAGCGGCAACGTTTTTGAATATCGTCTGTTACGATGACAAGGGC